TTAAATGCATTTGGAAATGGACCAGTTCCATGATTTGTACCTGAGTTTGTGGAAATATTTGTATGTTTCCAGATAAAAGGAGAGGGAGACTCAAAACACGGGAAAATAAAGGGCTGTGACATTGAATAGGGGTGCTACTCTGTGCTCAACCTTTAGCATGCTGGACAAGCTTCCACCAGTTTTCTTTTTCAATTTCCTTTTTGCCTTTGCTGGGAGCCATGCACTTTACTCCTTGTCTGGCTCCTGTTTTTCCATGCGCAGTGGGTCATATGAGCCTGGTTCTCCTTCTGTGAATCAAAGTATGTCAACTAGTACCATTTACAGAAGGCTTTCCTTTTTCCACCCAGCACATGGATGGTAGTGAAAATTAATTGCACTGTGTTATTCAAAATATTAGGACCCAAATGCATACTGCCCCTGAACATAATTGAAATGTGACCACTCGCGAAAAGGATTGTCTCTGTGCGTGTGCGTGTGCGTGCGCGTGCGTGCGCTGAATTCAGTGCTGAAGTATCTCTAGAACTAACTAATAATTAGAGGAAGACTAGGGGCCTTGCATCTTTTCTTTCAGAAGATTAAGATGGTGGTTGGTAGTGGTAGTTTGTATCCTCACATCCGCAGTAGGAACCTGAACTGCCTCTCTTAGGGAGACAGAATGTCCAACAAGACATGTGGGAGCTACTGTTGCCATGTCCACACAAATCTTCAGAGACCTTTCAGGAAACCAAGATATTGGTAGTACTTCACTGTGTTCAGAACAGGACCTTTGAGCTGGTAAGGTCACCAAACACTGCCTGGTTGAGGAAGAGCTGTGGTGGTTGCACACTATGTGGCAGCACTAGTTTAAAAGGGTGCCAAAGACACAAAGAACACAAGAGCCCTGCCTTTTGTCTGTTGTCACTCTCCCAACACTCAGTTGGAGTGGATGTCCCCTCGTTCTAGTATTGACTGAGAGGGAAAAGAGCTTCCTTCTATCCACTTTATCCATCCTCTGCACAATTTTATATGTCAATCATGTGCCCCCCCCTCAGGTGCCTTTTCTCTACACTAAAGAACCCCAAACACTGTAGCCTTTCCTCATAAGGGAGGTAGGTGCCCCAGCCCAGTCATCATTTTTGGTCATTCTTTTTTGCACCTTTTCTAGTTCCTCTATGTCTTTTTAAAGGTGAGGCAACCAGAACTGTACACAATACTTCAGGTGCAGCCTTACCAGCATTTTGTACAATGGCATTATAATGTTGGCTGTTTTATTTTCAATCCCCTTTTAAATGTGACCTAGCATGGAATTGGCCTTCTTCACTTCCACCGCACACTGGGTTGACACTCTCATCAAGCTGTCCACCAGCGCACCAAGATCTCTTTCCTGATCCATCAGGAACAGCTCAGAACCCATTAGCTGGCAACTAAAGTTTTGATTTTTTTTTTTTTGCCCCAATGTGCATTACTTTACATTTTCTTAGACTGAAGCATTTGCCATTTTGCCACCCATTCTCCCAGTTTGGAGAGATCCTTGTGGAGCTCTTCACAATCCCTTCTTGTCTTCACCACCTGCAAAAGTTTTGAGTCATCTGCAAACTTGGCCACCTCACGGCTTATCCCTGTCTCCTATGAACAGGTTGAAAAGCACCGGCCCCAGGATAGATCCCTGGGGCACACTGCTCTTCACCTCTCTCCATTGTGAAAATCACCCATTGACACCTACTCTCTGTTTCCTGGTTGTCAACCAGTTCTCAGTCCATAAAAGGATCTGTGCTCTTATCCCCTGACTGTGGAGTTTTCTCAGCAGCCTTTAGTGCTGTTTGGGCTTTCTCTGTAAGGAGTATGCAGAACTAGCTCACAAGATCTGATGCCATTTGTTCAGTCTGAGAGGAACAGGATGTTCTGGCATCTGATTGTTTTAAATATACCAAATTTCTGTGTCCACAGATGTGTCCATTTATATTTTCTTAAAACTATTAAAATACAGTGGGACCCACATAGCCGCTGGAGCAATATCAACTGATTCAGTTACCTACAGTCTGAAAATATTGAACATTTTAAATGAAAATACCTAGATTTATGGATAATTAAACTAAGTTTTCATAACCGGCTACTAGTGGGAGCCAGGCACCATGCTCTATAGGTGAAGCAGCTACCTTCACAGCTTGGTTGGCTGTCGAGGCCAGGAGGGTAGTGCAAGCCTGAAGCCAAACTGCCTCTGCGAGAGATTCCCCACCTTCTGCCCCTTCCTGCCTTCCAGCCAGCTCCTTTCTCAAGACTCCTGGGCAAACAAAAAAATGGATTCTGAATTGTTTTCGAAGAAGAAATGCCGCAGAGCCATTGAGGTTGTGTGTGTGTGTGTGTGAGAGAGAGAGAGAGTAATTGAGAGAATGAGAGAGAGAGAGAGAGAGAGAGAGAGAGAACCAGTCACCTTTAGTCTTCAGCAGGTTAGTAAAAGAGAGAAGACTTCACGTTGCCGTTTATAGAGACCTCATCAAGGTAAAGATCACACTGTTACAGCATTTGCTATAAACCACATTTTTCACCATCGGAGGGGGCGCTTGAAACCAATCCCCCATGGATATTGGGATCCTACTGTACATCTGACATTTAAAATGCTTGGGCATTTTAAAAAGAAAGCAAATTCAGTTATGGTCACCTTTTTCCTGGACATTCCCAAAACAAGAGGCCATCACAGATGGACCATCTCCTTGATACTCCCACTGCTGTTACTTGGAAAAAAGTGTACTCAGAATATCTTAAACCACAGTCAGGATGAGAAAGCAGGAACGTCTTCTTTAGATGTTTGGGTCTTAATCTATTTAAGGCATGAGTGTGTATATGACTGTATACTACCACCATTCTCTAATGTGACAAACCCAGACCTACTGGAGGATGCCACAGTTTCACTAAGCTGCCACCAACCATTCCCTATAAGAAGTCACACAGACCAGGGATGGATTTTTAACAAATAAAAGAATAAGGTTTATTTAAACAACACACAGGGAAAATAAAATGATCAAGTGAATAAGATACAGTAACGTGGCTTAGTCTCAATCATACATACACACAGTTTGGTTCACACAGAACACTTAACTTGAAGCACAGACCCTGAACCTATCAGTTCTGGCTAACCATACAGACACCTGAACCTATCAGGTTGGTACTGACTGACACACAGTAGTACCCTGTCTGACACACAGACTCCCACTCAAGCTTCTTCTCTCAGCTCTTCTCCCGCTTCTCTACACAAGCTCCACATATATATACAGTACAGCCCCTCCTCCTGATGTCCCGCCTTCCACTCCCCATAGGATAGAACTTTCCCTCCAAACCCATGACAGACAGGTAACATCAGTGCTGTATGTAACAGTCACCTTTTTCCTGGACATTCCCAAAACAAGAGGCCATCACAGATGGACCATCTCCTTGATACTCCCACTGCTGTTACTTGGAAAAAAGTGTACTCAGAATATCTTAAACCACAGTCAGGATGAGAAAGCAGGAACGTCTTCTTTAGATGTTTGGGTCTTAATCTATTTAAGGCATGAGTGTGTATATGACTGTATACTACCACCATTCTCTTTCTAGATAGATCAACGTATAGTTTATGTTCTTGGTTTCAAATAAAATAAGAAAAACATGTGGAGTGAAAAATCTGATCTTGGGCACCTTGCATTTTTCCTGAAAATGATGTGACAAGCCTTTATGCTGATATTGCTTAATTGGCCCCACTGAAAAAGATTAATGTCTCCTGCCTCTGCAGAGATTTGAATAAGAAAAATAAATTGCATAGCCCCATGGATATGATGCAACATTTATATTTTTGCATTGTTTCCTGTTGATCTATATTAATTTCTAAGGTTAACCCATTTTTACCTGAAGAGATTTTTTTTAAATCTGGCAAAGAAACAAGGAACAAAATTAATGCAATGTAGATACTCGGCATTTTTGTTGTTTGTTTACATCTTTCTTTCTCTCTTTTCTTCTGTGAGATTCTGGAGGGGGATATAGATTATCACTCTATAGTAGAACATTGCCTAGAGTAGCTTTCTGGATATGTAAGACTGCAATTCCCATGAGTTGGGCTGATATTAGCATAGATGGGCATGAACCACTGGTTTGGCACTTTGTGTCAGTTTGGCCAACAACTGCATAGCTGTTCTGTGGTTCTGGATCCCGCCCCTTCCAGCAGGTACTCACTCAGAGGCAGAACTCTGCCTTCACTGCCCCACCTCCTCCGAGCACTGCCTCCGAGGGTGTGCCCACCAGAGGGGGTGGGATGCCAAATCCCACCTCTGGGATACTTGTTGGACATTGTTGGGAGAGGGAGCAGTTGTGCTAGGAAGAAGGGATCCGACTTTCCACAAAGAAATGTAATAATGGTGAAATGGACACCATTCACTTGATGGTGAAATGGACCAGTAACTGTCCACAAACTGTTTCCCGCTGAGGGCAGACAAACTTTTATACTAATTCTGGCCAAATCCTGCCCATTGTGTACAGTATGCTAGAGTAGATGAGATGGCATAAATTGTTTCCCAGTGTGGTTTATAGAATTGCATTTATGGTGATATAAATATTTGTATTTATCTACAATATTTTTATCCTTGCCTTTCTCCTTAAAAAGAACCCAAGGCAGTAGGATACTGCCCTTTGTGCTCCCCATAAGAGTATGCTGTGTTCTGTTGCAATTTTTTAAAATTATACACATTGCTTGAACACATGCTGTTGACTGCAGCATGATGTCATGTTCAGTTTTGTACATCTTTAAGGTACACAATTTTCACATGCACATTTTTTTCCAAGATATATGAGAAGCCACCAATCAATGTGCAGATTCCAGAGTGCAAATTGCATCTAGCCTGGGAAGTGAGGTGCAGGTCAGTTCCACAGAAAACAAACACCAGAGTAGAATTGTCTAACTTTGATTTCTAGAAAGCTGGACATACTGAATTTCTATGCATTCAGAAAGCCTACCATACATTAATTATTTGGTGCCATGCCTTCTCTTCCTGCAGACATTCAGAATGCAACTGACATTGCCTTGTATTCGGGCCTGGGCGCTGCAGTCATTGCCGTTGCCATTATTGTTGTTGGTGTAACTGTCTACAGACGGAGGCAGAGTGAATATGGTGTGGATGTGATTGACTCCTCAGCTCTTACAGGAGGCTTCCAGACCTTTAATTTTAAAACCGTCCGACAAGGTTAGTACTTCAAATTATTCCTGGAGATAATTCCAAGGACTAGCTTTTCAGATTATGGATCACAGTTTGAAGAATGTTGCAATAGTCAGGCGGTTGTTTCTCCAAAAGATAACTTTTCCAAGCTCCCCTTATGAAGTGCCATTTTGGAAGTTGCTTTGTGGTGCTTGCCCAGTGTCACATCAGTGGGGTCACATAACACACCTGTAAAGTAAGGGTGTCTGCAGGAATTTATGTGGGCTGCATGATTCCAATGTTGCATAGTTTTGCTGGGCATATGTCAGCATAGTTTACGTACTGCACACAATCAAAACAGAGTATATCGCTTTGTGTACTCTTACACAACTTATATGTATATATATATTCATTGGGAAGAAGTGCCCCTCAACCTCCCTTCCATTGATATGCATTCCGTAAAATGAGAGGGACAAGAGAATTCAGGCAAATAAATATGTGTACATTACTGCATTCCCACACAGAGTTTAATTTCTGTATCATAAGCATTAACCTATATAAGATGTTTTAAAAAATGAATAACTTGCTTTGAACAAGAAAGCATGGTGAAAATGCTTCTGTCACAAAATAAATGTGCTGAAAAGAGTAAGAGCAGAAGGATAGAGCAATAAGGGCAAGTCATAATCCTTCAGTTGAAAATCAATTAATTCTGCAATCTGGATTTAAGCTTCAGTATATCTGTACTTGAAAAATTAATGCACACTTGATAATAAAACGTGTTGAGGATTTGTTTGTGTAAATTCAATGCACACTGTTCAGTCATAAGATTCTCTTGGCAGAGCATGAAAATTATTGGATTAAGATCCCTAACTGCACAGCGGATAAAAGTTCAGGGACCTACAGAACAGAATTAACTTTTAAATATCCCCTCAGTAGACTGATTCTTTTTGTTAGTTCTCTTCAACTGGCACATACTGTCTCACAAACTCACTCAGAGACATTGGTAAGAGAAAAGAATAAAATGTTCCATAAATGACCACTAACAGTTCTTCATAGATCAAAACAAACAGCATTCTGTAGAAAAATATTAACTGGTTACAGGAACAGAGCTTAATTGATTTACTAGCTGTATACTACCTCATTACATAGCTGGCTGACTTTAACTGTCTGCATGACACTAACTATACACAGATTGTCTTACTAAAAATAACAGGAAAAGAACTTTTGAGAAGTATGGCTTTCTTCTAAGTTCTGAAACAGAGAAGGAACAATTGGTTACTGATGGATTGACATTCTTCTCTGTCCAGAAAGGTCCCTCCCAACCAAAACCTCTTAAAGGCAACTTAAGAGGGTGCAATAATTCCAACAAATTTGTCACAAGATACCTGTGGGGTTGGATTTAAACTTAGAGGTGGTTAAGGTAGAATTCTTGGAATCTGTAAAATAAGTCAGTGAAAATGAACTTAACCCCGTTAGCAGTAAACCTGCTTTATGCACGACTGTGTCCAGATCCAACCTGTATTATCTAAATTATACATTTTCCCCCCTTCTTGGAAAGCTGTTTTCTAGAGAATATAGTTGTTGTTTTTTTAAAAAAATAGTGAATGAATAAAATTCTCTGAATTTCTACCACTCATATTTTTTAAAGATGGAGCCTTTATCATAGATGGGAGGAAGTGTTGAAGGATGTGTGAACACAGCTCTGTTTTAATTTTCTGTACATAAGAAATGATACAGTATTTCACAGATAATGATATAGATGTTCCCCTCCCTGTGGGATACAAGCCTTGCAGTGAATACATTAAAATAACTGAGGCAGAGAAAGGTTCAGAAACTCATTTGAAACTAATCACAGGTTGGGTAAAGTTAATTTTCTAAGGTCTGTTATCTTTATTACCAGAAATGCAAACTTATGTATTGTTTTGTATGCAATCCCGTTGAAAGCTGTACAGTGTGATATTTTCAGCTCTTAAAGAAGCTTTTCTAAAATGGAAAGTTCTTGACTGTTTACTCTGACTATATGTTCCTTACTTAACTAACTTATGGTAAGGCTTCATATAGCATATACCAATGTAAATTATATTATATATTTAGCATGTTTTTAGAAGAGGTGTTCTCTCCAGTTGTGAAAAATACCTTTTTTGCCATAGCACATGATTTTCCTCACCTACATAATTTGTATTTAGTCTGTTTTTTTTCATTTTGGTGCATTTTATTTTGTTTCAGTAATCAGGAAGATGTAATTTGCTGACACTTATGACACATTAAAGGGTAACCCCACTAATTCAAGTGGTATCTCAAGTGAAATGGCATGGTATTCATGAACAGGGAATAAAGCTTCCCTAGGTTGACGTCGTTCATGAAAGATCACACTATTGTATCCTTCATTAATTAACCCAGTAGACTGATAATGACAGAGTTTGTACTCACAAACATCACGGAGATATGGAATCCCCACTTCAGTAATGAATTAATATCAATATTCTTACCGCTTTTTCATCCTTCTTTGAGAGTGATGGAAGGATGAAGAGATGGCTGGTCAACTTCAAATAATCATAGAAACAAGTTAAAATATGATCAGATAATCCCTTTGCATTTTGAGACTTTAAGCTTCTTATTTTTATTTAAAAGCCAGAGTAACTTGAAAGGATATAAGTATGATCCTCTCAGAAAAATGTTTTTAAGGTATATTACTTGAGTAAGTGTTTTTCCTGAGTTGCATGCTGTCTGGATGGGGACAGAGGAGGGAGGGGGAGAGGGGTGCTTATAGAAATGGCCTTGGCAGTTTTTCCCAAAATTTTGAGGTAATCTGATGCCCATTAAAATGTTTTCTGTGTTCGAGCTCAAACTTTTGCCATTTGCTGTTATTCTAATATATATATATATCTATTTTGAGACTAAAAGAAAGGGTGAAAAAGAGTTAAAGTACAATTAGTTTGATCCTTCCTTAAGTGTAAGTCTTCTAAAACAAGAATGGTTAGTGTCCTATGTTTTTAACATTCCCTCTAGATCTCAAGAAGACAGCATTTATAATACCTCTGATTGTCTTAATCTTTCTAAACAATCTAAAGTGTTGCTGTTGTTGCTGTTACCACTGCCTTTGCTACAGCGACAAATAGTAGGTAGTTCTTCCTAAACAGAGAGGGATGAGATGAAAATGTACCTTATTGTACACAAATCGATAAGGCTGACTTCCAAAACTAATGCAGCAAAATGTAGTTGGCCTTAGCAATTCTCTGAATTATGCCGCTCTCCAATTTTTAAAAAGTGTAAGAAATGTCTATATTAGAGGAAAGTGTTCACGAGTATGTGTTTATTAATAAAAATAGCATACAAAATATCATTACTCACCAAAAAAGGAAAGAATTTTTCTAGATGTGCAGAATGGATTTTTAAAACATTACAGAAATTGAGGTGGAAACAGAACAAACTCAAAATTAGACTAGAGCAAACAGAAACAAACATTAGCAGACTTGCCCATTTCCCCAGAATAAAGCAGTTGGTTTTAAAAGCAGAAATGATGCTGACGAGGAAATGATTACCTGAAATGATAAAAGAGGGGACCAACTCCTACATTTGCCCCTATTTATGTATAGTGTTTGGAACAAATTCCTTGGCTGTTGGTTATTTGATGGAGTTAATATTCTATACCCTTTTAAGAACTTGATTTGCTTCTGTACAGTGTGTATTTGTGCGAAGAGGTACTGTGTGCTACCTGGAATGTGCTCTGGAGATGAAAAGATAGAGAGTCGGCACATTCTGAGTGTTATTCTTTGCTTTTAAGATTTGTGTAATTATTAGAACAATGGAGAATGAAGTCACCAGAACAAAAGAAAAAAAATCAATACCGTCTTGAAAAACTAGGTCTCCAGTCTGCTCATTATTCAGCAAGGCAAAGGTTTCCTATAGTAATATTTCGAGATACTTTCCCCTGTATGTGACTTTTAGAAAGACAGGACTAAATGGGAAAGAGAAGACATAAGAGTTCAAAATAAGTTATAATAGGGAAGCCCAATAAAGACTTGAAGAAATTGTCTGCACATATATCTACAAAAATAAAGGTATAAGATATAAGTTATAATAGGGAAAACCAATAAAGATATGAAGAAATTGTCTGCACATATATCTACAAAAATAAAGGTATATAATTAAAAAAAAAAAGAAATACCATGTGCATACATATGCGCAGGTGCACTTGTGTGAGTCTGTGTAGGATTGACACAGTATTTCAAAAAGGAGAAAAAAGTCTAGCTGTTGTGAGGAAAATAATAAAACAGTTCCCACCACACCACAACATGTAAGTTATATCCCCATCCTTTCTCCGAAATGATGATGATCCACTTCCATGCTATGTAGCCTTTCGGGCAGCAAGTATCCTCCAGCTCATTCGGTGTTGTGAATGTGTTTCGGTGTCCTGCCATATAATATGTAGCGCCTGCAGGTCTGGCTTCAGTGTTCTTTGCCCCGTCCTCATTGTCATTTGGTGCATGGGGGGAGGGGGGAGTCCAAAACATTACTTACCTTATTCTCTGAAATAATCTAAATAATGCATTGGCTGATAATTGTTGAAAAAGTAATGGGTCATGGAAGAACTTTTCAGAGTCACGTTTGGAAACTGGACTTTAAAAGCCTGCAAACTACTGTACTTTCCAAGTTGTTGGGAAAGAGTTTGATTTCATTGCGACCACACTTCTGGTGCCAGTTTGGACTCTGTTGTTCTCCTGATATCATGATTTGATCCCACCTACAATCCAACCGCCTGCCTTGTTCCTTCTTCCTTACCCACATTCAAATCTGATTTAAGACATTGTGAGACTGTAATCCTAAACACACTTGCCTAGAATTAAGTCGCCAAAGAATATAATGGCTGGAATTCTGTTAGTGTAAGTCACACCACAGATTTCAGGCAATGTCATCAGTGGAAGCCATGCGTGTCCATTTTGGGAAATTAAAAGTTTCTCATCCTCCCCCGAAAGCTCCAGGAACCCCTAAGGTTTTCCTTCACCCTCAGGCAGCTTTTGGGAACCACAAAAAGAAAAGGAGGATTTATTATTTATCCCACGGCAGCACTTTTTCTGATTTTAAATCATTTCCCCTCACCTTCTACAGCTCCCAAAGACTGTGCCAGAATTAGGGAATCTGGGGATCCCTAGAGCATTTTGTGGGGGAATGGGAAGATTTTTATTTCCTTAGAGCCTTCTGTGGTGGAATGGGAAGATTTTCATCTTCCAGCCATGCTGACGCTGGTGTCATCACAGGAAATCCATGGTGTAACTTATACCAACAGGATTCTGGTCACTGTGTTCTTCAGGGATTTACTTCTGGGTAAGAGTGCATAGGAATACAACTTCACACTCCCTTCTTTATCGTAGTTCACTTTTGCTTCAGACTACAGCAGCACCTTGCATGGAGAAACATTCCTTTGCATGAAAACAAATACAGTGTGTGTGCACACACAGAGACACACACACACATGAATACTGCCCAGTTGTGCTTATATACTGCCCGGTTGTGCTTAAAGCACTCTCTCGGCAGTTTATAATATATTTTTAATTATGCCAGATACATATTGCCCCCACTCAGTGATCTGGGAATTCATTTACATCCATTGGTATCAAACACTGACCGTGAGCAGAGTTTTGGCTGCAATACAACTTTAACCGCTGTGCCACAAGGCTATATAAATAAAACTAACAAGTCAGGAAGAAGGCTAAGCAAGGACCTTCTCTTCAATATCTAGTTTTCTGTGTGGAAGAACATTGCTCACTCATTATTTGGTACAAAAGAGCATATACTGTACTCAATTCCACAAGCTGCCACTTGAAATCTCAAGTACTATTGCCAGTGTTTGGAAAAGTTACTTTTTGAACTAGTTGGGAAAATAAGGGAGGGGGGAGAAAAGAGGGAGAAAGACAAAATATTGTGATGCTTCAATACCTAATAATTTGTTTCAGTGTGAGCTTTTGTGGATTAAAAATCAACTTTCTCAAAAGAAGTGGATTTTGCTGTACAAAAGCTCACACTGAAATTAATTAGTTTTTAAATGCCACAGTATTTTGCCCTTGTTCTTCCCCTTTCTTTTTCTTCCAACCTCCCCCCCCCTGCTTTAATTTTGCCAGTATTCTGAGACTGATGAACATGACTGCCTTTTTGAAGCCTTTTGGATTCGGACTCCCGTGTTCTCCTGTTTGTTTCTGTTACATGCTGGTCATGCTGTCTGGGGAACTCTCATAGTTGCTGTCATGATTCCACGTGGCCCCTGATTGTTTCACCAACCAAAGAGCTCACGCTACGTGCCCCTCAGCTGCCTCCAGTTGATTTCATCAACAATACCTTTTATTAATTATAGATGTCCAGGCCATATGCCATTTTAAAAGAACCCAGTAGAAATTGTTTATTGATCCAGGTGGTGACAGAACAAGCAATGTTGTTAACTTTTAAACAAACATTCTTCTTTACCCACCTTCAACCACCGTTCTCCCGCCCAAACTCCAAAACTCTCTCAACTCTCTAACACTCTAATTCTCTATCTCAAAACCTTATCTAAACCTTATCTAAACACCTCCTCCTGCTGCTAAGTCTCTTATACCTGGTGAGTCTGCCCCTCCAGCACTCCCATTGGTCTATGCAAATAGCATATGAATAGTCATGACTAGGGCGAACGCCACAGTTGCAAACAAAAAACCCTAATTTTTCCATGCACTGGGTATTGTCCAGACACGGACAATACCCAGTACATGGAAAGAACCAGGCAATTGTATAAGCAACTGTATATACAACACTTTCTACTGTAGTTAATAATGGTAACTGATTGCCTGATCAATTTCCTTCCATCAGGTAACTCCTTGCTTTTGAACTCATCCATGCAGCCTGACCTGACCGTGAGCAGGACCTACAGTGGACCCATTTGCCTTCAAGATCCCCTTGACAAGGAGCTTATGACAGAATCATCTCTCTTCAACCCTTTGTCTGACATTAAGGTGAAAGTTCAGAGTTCATTTATGGTTTCATTGGGTGTGTCAGAGCGATCTGAATATCATGGAAAAACTCATTCTGGGACATTTCCACATGACAATAACAGAACCTTCAGCACCATACATGCAAAAAACAAACCTGCATACATCCAGAATCTTTCATCACTCTCCAAACGAAGTGAGATGAGGGCCACTGGTGTATTTGGCCACCTGGGAGGACATTTGGGAATCCCCAACTCAGGTGAGTTGTTGCAAAAACTGAAAATATTTGGAAATGCATTAGTTAGGACAGGGATGTCTTCTGCTTTCATATGAAAATGAAGTATGACAGGAAGTTACAGTATTTGCTCTCTCACTGGGGATAGTCAAACATATGAAGTACATAAACAAGTGACTGTGACTAGTTGACAGCTTGCAACTATAAGCACTAATAGCACACATTGTGTATAATAGATGCCTGTGCAGTTGAGCATAGCATCAGTTTCTGAATAACTTAATGAATTGGGACAGCTTTGTTGCCATTCTCTAGCTGGGGAAAAAGATAGTGAAAGTTTTCTCTAACATGCTAGTATATCCACTGGATCAGACCAAGCCCCTGGAATTCTGTTTCGAAATAGTCAGCCATATGCTACTAGAAAAACCACAAGCATGGCATGGGGAAACTTAGTAGCGATATGCTAGTAGGAAAACCACAAGCAATGCACCCTTCCCACTTTTATTTCTCCCCAGCAATACTCATTTGGTGACCGTTGGTAACCAACTTTTTGTTTCGCGTGAAACAAAAGTTTCTGTATAGTTCTCATGAACAATTATGACCAGATCTTCCTACTGAATCTTCTTTCAAAGCTATCTGATGTACTACTTTTTATCTCAGTTTGTGATACTGAATTCCATTAACCAGTGAGGAAGATCCACTCTCGGATGATGAGACTACTTCCATTACATTACAGAGGCCAAAATCTTGTTACTCAGCTTTATGCAGTGACATCATCAGCCATGGCCATTTCAGGGGAAATAAATTTTCTGTTCCCCCACTCCATTTCTCCAAAATCACCACAACCAGGGTTCCAGTCAGAGATTCATAAATTCAAAAGCACACTTTGTTGTAAATTCACTTCAGCCAATTTGTTACACTTTTGTTTTCAACAGTAAAATACCAACAAAATTTCAAAAAGCAAAGACAAAAGAAAGTATATAAACTCCTCATCCTCATAGTGACTAGAGATGGGTGACAATTTTGTTTCACTTTATTTATTTTTTTCAAAAAAAGGTAAGAATTTACCAACATTCAGAACATTCAGGTATGAAAGAACGGCAAAGTGGAAGATTCATTCATTTCTTGGGGTGGGTCAGAATTTTATCTTGTGTGGGTGTTTTGTTTGCTTTTATCAAAAATTAGGATGAATCATAAAATGAGCAAAATTACCATATTTTTTGCTCCATAAGACTCACCTGACCTTAAGACGCACATAATTTTTAGAGGAGGAAAACAGGGAAAATATATTCTGAACCAAATAGTGTAATAAAATATTTAATAAACTATAACAGAATAACATTTGAACCATGTAAAGTCAACAGCAGTCAACAGTGGCATTAAGAACCATCACCACTGTCATTAACAAATGGAGAGACTTAAAGCTTTGTGTACTCTAGTTTATGTACCATAAATTTGTATACCATAAATTTAATTCAAGTACATATAGACCATTATCAGCCAGTGATAAGACCTATACCACTCTACCTATATTTTACATTTCCTTTCATCTACCTCCTCCCCATGCTTATAGAAATGTCTCAATGACAGATGAGATTGTTGTGCAACTCTGCCCAGCTACAGCTCAAGCCTATATTAAGTTAGAAATGGTTTGTCTGATTTGGCAC